ACAGCAGAATAGACAGATGTAAGCGACTAAGAGTGGTACTGGGCCTCTGTGACTCCGGCTGACGTTCCCACGCGGGTGGAAGCGGGACCCAGTTCCCACGCGGGGCATGCGTGGAAGCGGGACCCAGTGAGCCAGCCCAATACACAGCACTGCGCTTCTCTGCTGTCTCGCAGCCGCCAGGGCCGCCAGCCCCTGCTAAGGTGCCTCTGTCAGCCCTAGTGTTCCTCGGGGTCCTTTTACGTCCTCCATCACAGCTTGACTTCAGTTCCTTTCTCACGCACAGAAACTTCTGTAACTACAGATGAAGCTATCATTTTCTCTTTTACACTCATCACAGAAAAGATGAAAAGCTCTGTGAAGCTGTACTTAGAGACGCCAAATGGGAACAAAGCTGCTTTTTGCAAAGGCTGTGAAAATTTTTTGAACACTCCTTACTTTTTTTTTTCTTCCAAAAAGAGAGTCTGAGGCCAGCCAGACTACAAAGTGAGACCCTGGCTTTAAAAAACAACATCAAAAAGAAACAAAAGAAAATACCGTAAGACTACAAGCAAATAAGGATATGTTCAATAAATACAGATTAAACATTTTAAATATTTAAAACACTATTAATGTATTTCAACAAACTCATAATATTAAAATCATAAAAATATAAGCAATACAATGTTTTTCATACTAAGAGAGATACGTTTTTAAAGTCTTGATATTATTGCACAATTAATAGATGGCAATAACGAATGCATGTTTTCTTAGGCCATAGAAAACCAAAAGACAATCTGCTTTGGGACCTTTGCGTTTCGCAGTGACCTGGCACAAAACACAAAGTCTCCCTGAGTGCTTAGGGAACCGGTGGTATCCCATGGGTACCCAGCCTGGTTCCGATGAGACTATGGGAGGTTCAGTGGTTTTCTGCAGGTCTCAGGAAATGACGAACGTTTCCCGCTGGGGCCTTACTTGGGTTGACAACACAGAATGAACAGAGAGCCCAAAAGACTCAGCAAGATCAGCTCTGGGGTAAACTAGAGCTTCCCCGGGGCCAAGAGTAAGGAGGCGGAGCTCATTGGCATCCATCCCCCTTAATCTGCTTACATTCTGATTTCTCTTGAACGCCATCCTACTTGGCAGTTCTCCTTGGTCACCAGCGCGTTCTCTGTCCATGATTATGAAGAGTGTGCTCTCTCCAAATCGGTTTCCGTTCACAGAAAACTGTTTGCCAGAGAGGTGGGTGACCCTATCGTCTTCATGTCCAGTTAGTTATACTGCTTTATCAGAATCCAGCGGGGTTCTGGAGATGGCACGGCATCGTTCTGTGAACTGAAATAGCAGCAATTGGAAGTGTGCACTAATGTTGTGCAAATGGATCAATAATTCTGTGATGCTTGCATCCCCTGCGTTCTTAGAAGGAGGTCGCATGATTCCTCTTTTCGAAGCACCCAGTCTCTTGTCTCCTGTATATACACCTCTCTCCTTGCTTTTTCTCTTATTGTTCTTTTGCTCTCTAAGTTCAGCAAAGACAACACTTGTAGTTCCTGACACTCCTGTTGCTTTTCAACCTGCTGTGCGTCCTTTAAGAAACTGGCCTGTAGCGCCCCCTGCTGTATACGCAAAGACACTCCTTGCTGTTTGGGGCGGAGCTCGGTTTGGACGTCAGGGACCCTGAGCTTTCTGAACGGGGCTCTCAAGCAGGTTTGAGTTTGAGGGTTTCAAAGTCCAGTTGCTCACATTCCGCAGGGACGGTCCCTGGGACTGGTGGCCCTGAGAGCGTGCGGACAGCAGAGGGCGCACGCTCCATGTCGGAATGAGGAGTCACCCAGATAAAGCCCTTGTGCTTGTTAGGATAGGGCTTTTAGCAACCCAAATCTTCGCACATTGCAAAGGCAGAATTGCAAATCCAGCACTATCTTTTTGGAAGATGCCGCCTTACTGACTTAGCCACGGTCAAAAGCGTGTTTTGCATATTTCAAAGGATTGGATCTAAAAAGTTTACCTTCTGGAGACGTACTTCCACAGAAAATACCCAACGATAGGAATAAATTTTGGGTTTTCTTAACATTTGTTCGGGTTCATAGGAAAAATGTTTTCACCAACGATAAAGTCTCATAAATGCATATTCATTTTCAACCCGGCCCCAAGCCTCCTGCTAGCGTCGGTTTACAGCGGCTTCCTTGCTTGTTTTCATAACCCCACCACGTGTGCATCAACGTACCTAACAGGAATGAGCTATGGGTTCAGCCCTGTCCACCTCGCTGCAGCTGGGCGTGTTGGTGCCTGTAACCTGCGCTGAAAAGCAGGAACGTGTTGGTGTTGCTCAGGGGCCAAGCTTTCAGCAGACCAGAGAAACTGGGGAGGAGATGTGGAGTAGCCGAACTCCTGGACAAACACACAGACACACGTGGACACTTCATTGGAGGGCCAAAGATTAATTCTTCATTTTATTTTTTTCTCTGCTGCTTGTTCTTCCTAGTCTACCCTGGTGTGCTTTTCCTCCTTCTTCTCCCCCTCCTCCTCCCCCTTCTCCTCCTCTTTCTCCTCCTCCTCCTCTTTCTCCTCCTCCTCCTCTTCCTCCTTGTCTTTCTTCTCCTCCTCCTCTTCCTCCTCCTTTTTCTCCTCCTCCTCCTCTTCCTCCTTGTCTTTCTTCTCCTCCTCCTCTTTCTCCTCCTTTCTCCTCCTATTCTTTCTTCTTCTCCTCCTCCTCCCCATCATCCCCCCTACTCTTTCTCCCCATCCTCCCCTCCTCCTCCTCCCTTCCTCTTCCCCATTGTTTCCCTTTACTTCTTTTCCAATGTTTTCCCTTCTACATCTTTTCTTCTCGATTTCTTGGTTTTCCTTTTATGCCTCCTAATACAAAACTTTCTATGGAAGAAAAGATTACCTCAAAACCACAAGCTACATAATTTTCAAAGACAAATTAAAATCTTTGCACAAGAAGAAATCACATGATGAGCACAGGTTACATGTTTTCCTTAGTCACCCACAAATAGTTCCCAACCCCTGCCCTTAGATCACGTGTTTTTGGCTGCATGCTTTACCTTATTCTTTCTCATATCAATAATAATTACATTTGCAGAAAGTGATACAAAAGTTCTTAAAACCTCAGTAGATTAGCAGCTACGATTAAAGCATTCCAAGATTTTCCTTTTTTAAATTTTTATTTATTTATTTATTGACAGAGTTTTTCTGTATAGTTCTGGCTGTCCTGGAACTCAATCTGCAGACCAGGCTGACCTCAAACTCACAGAGATTCGCCTGCCTCTGCCTCCCAAGTGATGGGCCACCACTGTCTGGCCCAAGATTTTACTTTTAATATCTAAAAGTATTTTTGCCAAAATGTGAAATAATTTGGGATTTTTAAGTCATTCATGTACTAATAATCATGATCATAATTTAACCCAGAACAGTTGTATTTTTGTTTTTACACAGGATCTCACGAAACCCAAGCTGGTTTCGAACTCCTTGTGCAGCAGTTTCTTCTGCCTCTGCTTCTCAAATCCTGGTGTTCCAGGCATGAGCACCATGCCCAGTTCCAAAGGAAAAAAGTAAGCAGCCAAAATAAATCCTAACTTAAGTTTATAGATACAGACTGGAGAGATGGCTCAGCAGTTAGAACCATTGCTGCTCTTCCAGAGGACCCAAGTTCCCAGCACCCACATAAGGTGACTCACACCTTCTGTAACCCAAACTCCAAAGTATCCAACACCTCGGGTTTACACATACCCAGACACATAATTAAAAACACGGTAAATACAAATTTCAAAAAGTTATATTTTAGGTCAGGTGTGGTAGCAGACACCAGCAAATCCAGCACTTAGGGAAACTGAGGCAGGAGGATCAGAAGCACAAATCCGGCTGCATAGCACTTCTAAGGTCAACGTGGGCTACAGGACACTTATCTCAAAGAAAAAAAAAACACAGACAAAACCCAGAAACAAAAAGCAAATTATATCAGTGAAACTGTGTTTGATAATGTTTAAATCACTGAGTTCAATCTTTAATAAAATAATAATTATTATTATATGTAACAATAATAATAAAAGAAAAAACTGTCATGAATTGGAGAGTTCAGGGAACATGGAGGGGATGGTGGGAAGAAATGAAGAGGAGAAAGATGTAATTATATTTTAATCAAATAAAAAATTTAAGCACGCGCGCGCACACACACACATCCACACACACTCATAAAGTATGACAGAGCCATCAGTTAAAATACTATCAGTATAAAACATTACACTTGACAAAATTCTGAAGAAATGTTCAAGAGAAAACTCATGCAAATTTTAAGGCGGAAAGGGTCATTTTATTTTAGAATATTTGCAGTATGTGAGACCTTGTCCCTTGCCACTCTGAATGTAGGACGGTCTGGAGGGATGGCTCAGAGGTTGAGAACACTTGTTGCTCTTACAGAAGACCCAGCCTGGATTTCCAGGACCCATGTGGCAACTCACAGCCATCCCTAACTCCAGTTCTGGGGAGCCTGATGCCCTCTTCTGGCCTCTTCAGGCACCAGGCACACAACATTCGGGCAACACACACACATACATAATTTTTTCAATTAAATACTTAATTAAAATTAATTATTAAAATTAAGTATTTCATTAAAAATGGGCAAGGCGCTTGCACGACGCCACAAAGTGGACATTCCAGCACTGGGTTATGCTTTGTAACCAAACGGATCTAAGCGGAGGGTGTGCAGGCGACAGAATGTCCGTTCCCTCAGGAGAACCACGCGAGATCCTCGGAAAACTGAGGGTGAACCCCTCGATTCTGGGTTTCAGCGTAGCACTGGGGCGACCTCTAGGGCGCAGGTTCCAGAGCGGGGGACACCCGCAGGGTAGTCCCGCCGAGGAGGGGCGTGGAGGAGGGGCGCCGAGGAGGCACGGCTGAGTCAGCGCTCTGCAATTGCTCGGCGGCAGGAGGGCGGGGCGACCGAGGGGCGGGGCTATCCAGAGGAGACCGGTCATTGGCTGTTGGGGAGGGGCGCGTCGGCGGGGCGGGGCAGGACCAGACTCAGACCTCCGGGCATTGGCTGGTGGGGCGGCCAGGGACACGTGGTGCGGAACCGGCGCGGTAAGCGGTCGCTCGCCCTGTGGGCCTTCCTTCCACGGAGGGCGCTGCGGGCTGGGCACGGGCTGGGCACAGGACAGGGCGGTGTGGGAGTCACCCTGGTCTGCGATCAAGTGCGGGACCCGGGGCATCCAAGTGAGAGCGGCGGGAGGTCCCAGATCCCTAATGCACAGTCAGCCCAGGCCTGAGTCATCCCAGGCCCCGGCGAGGGCCCGCGTTCTGGAGGAACTTAGCCCGGGACTCAGGCCTCCCAGCCGCAAGAGCAGGTTCTGAGCGGCCGATCCCCATAAGTACCAGCTTCCCCCGGGCCACCCCCAATTCTCCCTACAGGGCCGATGGGCTGTGCGCCCAGTCCAGCCTGCATGGCGACTTGGGGCTGAAGGATCGCAGGGAGCAAAGGCCACGCCGTCCTCACGCCTACACACTGAGGACTCTGCCTGGCTCCAGACAGCGCCTTGGGTGCAAAGGCCCTGGGCAGTGTCCAGCTGGACCTTGTCCCTAGGATGGATCCACAGGAGAGAGGTCTCGCCTTGCCAGCTTGCTGGTGCGAGCAGGCCTCTCATTCATTCACCAGTTTCCGTTTACTCATTTGTAGAGTAGAGTAGATGTTTGATCCGCTGTACTAACCCTTGAGAATCTGCGGCCACCAGAGTTCTCCCCAGAGTCTGTAGTAAGGCAAAGCCCCTGTCATGGCACCCTGATTGTACTGCTGCTGGAAAGCTTAAGACTTAACAGGTCGTGAAATTGTTGTCATGTTTGGCAAGAAGTTTGCTTGTTCAACCCACCAATACTGCTTTTTACCTTACTAAATGGTTTCCGATTGATGACCTTGATGGAGGAGGAGTCACCAGAGCTTGGTGGGACGGAGAAGGGAACCTGGCTTGACTCGCTGTGTCTGAGGGGACCGTGTAAAGAAACGGTTTGCTTCCATCTGCCCTGGGAACTCTGCTCACTGTTATTGTTACTACCCTTAGTGAACGATGTACTGCAGATCGTTACATCTTTGCATAACAACGTTAGCAACAAAATTGTTAACTGTGAGGATGTGATGCTGGGCCAGGGTGTTTGGCATTTATGTAAGAAGCCCCAGTGAAAAGTGCCCAGTGTAGCAGATGGTTCTGCGGGATAAGGCTTCATCGGATAAACAGGTACCTTCCCTGAGAGTAGCTGGCGACAGATGGGTGGAACTTAACACTCATAAACACCTAGGTAATATCTGTAGAGTCTCCCAGAGGCCCTTGCAGGTGAGGCGTGTGGGGTGTTCATGGGTCTAGAAATGTTTCCTCGACTGCGCTAAGTTTTACAAAGGAGGGGAAGATCGTGAGGACACTGAGGACTTAGCAGTTCAGTGTCCCGCCCTTGCAGCAATCCCGTTTACCATTTGCAGCACCCTGAGATTTCACATTGCTCGGTGCGCTGCATAGCCGCCACGCTTTGCGTCACAGGAAACCAACTCTCCTGGGATCCTGTACCAAGAAACGGTGCTCTTTACCATGTGTGGTGCGTGGCCATTACTGTGGCACCCTCTTGAGACCATGTAGCAGCAGTGATGCCAGGGTCACTTGGTGTCCCTGCAGGATGAATTTTCTCAGCACAAATGAGCTCTGTTTCACCTATGCTTACTCAAGTCGGAGTCTTGCTACTTGAAGAGAGAAAACACCCGTTGCAAATCTCAGTGCCTGGGTCAGTTCTGCTTCACATTGATTCCCTATTTTAAAAGCAGTGCTACAAATTACTTTCTAGAGTCTCAGGCATGAAAAGTAAGTGTTGGAACATGTGCAGAAGGCTGGTAGAGTGCTTGCCAAGCTTCCGTGAAGCTCTGGGTTCCATGCCCAGTACCACATATGGGTGTGGTGATACACACCTGTTTTTCTAGCCCGTGGACAGGGAAGCAGGAGGATCAGAAGTTCAAGGACAACCTAGGTTACTTAAGATCCCGTTCTTGTTTTGTCTTAAAAGGGGGGGGGGGTGGAAGCTGCCCAGAAAATGCAGACATTGAGTATATTTGTGGGGAGCCTGAAATGTGTTCATACATGTGCGTATGCACTGTATAGTATGCAAACTGGGACGTACAACTCCTCAGACATTGGCCATTTCCTTGTGATGGAAACACTGAATATTCCTTCTAGCTTTCTTTAAAAAAAAAAAAGTGCACAGCTGCTCTCCACAGCCATGCTCATGGGGGGTGGGAACTTTCCCATCTTTGGCCCTTAAGGAGGTTGAGTGCAGCCCGTGGCTAAGGTTGTCAGTTGTCCCCAGCTGAATTCATCTTGCCTTCTGTATCCGAAGACAGGGTGTAAGTTTGCAGTTGAAGAGGCAGAATGTGAGGGTTTATTTGCTTGCTTTTTTGAGACAGAGTTGCACTCTGTAGCCCTGGCTGGCCTACAATTCATAATGTATAGTCCAGGCTGGCCTCATACTTTCAGAGATCCACCTGCCTCTACCTCCCCTGTCCTGGAATTAAAGGCATCTGCCACCGCGCCCAGCCTGTGACATTTTTATTGAGATTTTTGAAATGATTATTTCCTCTAGCATTAGCAGGTTAATAGTTCCCATTGTGCTTTAAGAGTCTGAAACTGTAGCTCACTTGGTGGGTGGACTGCTTACCAGACAAGCAGTGAGCTGGCTTTGATCCCAGCAACACATAAATCAGGCTTGGTGGGGTTTGGACAAGTAATTCCAACATGCAAAAGGATCAGATGTTTCAGTCTAGTTCAGGCCACAAGAGGTCCCGTCTCAAAAAAATAAAAGAATAACGTTTTAAAAAGTAAATGACAGCTAGGCATGGCGGCACACACCTTTAGTCCTAGCACTTAGGAGGCAGGTGGATGTCTGTATGAGGCTGGCCTGGTCTACACAGAACATTCCAGGACAGCTGTAGTGTGACCTTGTCTCAAAAAAATAACAATACACTGTAAATCCCTGTGAGTGGAAAGTACCCACTAGAGTTTTCTTCAGATTGTCTGCCACCGGGGCTCTCAAACTGTCCTGGAGCTTTTCCAGTGGAGCGAGGAAAGGAAATGAAGGTCAGTCTAAGCCCCTGGCTGGTTCCCAGTCACTTCCTGGAGAGTCTTGTGATAAGTGTTGCAACCAATGCTGACAGGAGGGTGGAGGAGCACTTCTCCATCCCCAGGCCACTGCCCTTCAGTCCCAGCTGCGAGCCCAACTGGTCTGACTCCTTGCTCTCTCTGCTCAGTCTCCAAGGTCTGAAGTCTGCCTGAAAGATGTCAGCCCTCAAAGCCATCTTCCAGTACATCGACAACAATCAGGACCGCTATGTCAAGGTGAGGGTCTGCCCCTTCTTCGTGAATAGTGAGAGCTGCTGCAATCTTGTCCAGCCAGAGAGATTTTCAAGAAACTTGTATGAATTATGCCATTTTGATAAAGCATTAAAAGTTCATGTTTCTTTTCACGATGGTGAAGGTCGCACTTTCGTCATTTGGCAGTTAATTATCCCTGTCTCTATGAGTAATGTTCATTCTTTATTTTTCTCTAAGGTCATCTATGGTTTCTTGTGATAGTTATAGATTTAAAAAAGGAGAAGACAGCTTGAATCCAGCTCGTTCTGAGTGATTATATGATGCTATATTTAAAGTGTTGCTTGGTTTTTATCTATAAGAATTATGACTTCAGTTTACTTTTGGAAGAATCATTTTAGATGAAACATTTTGACTTCTCCCACTAAGAATTACATCTTGGAGACAGGGAACTAACTTGGATCATGACTTGACTTTGCAGTATGTTTTCTCTCTGTTGCAATTTTGTTGACTTGTGCTTAAAAATGCATGTTCTGACATCTTTCCTTTCTGCTTAGTTTGGGGGGGGGGTAGGAACTTCCAGTTGTGTTGGTTTTTAAATGTAGATCAGGCAAGCTCCGTCTGCTCTGTGCATAAAGTGGTGTAGCTGTAGTAGAGTCCCATTGACGAGCCCACCCCTGCCCTTAGAGAACAGCGTTTCAGAGCCCTTTCCACTTGCCCTCTACAACAGAAACTTGCAGAATGGGTGGCCATCCAGAGCGTGTCCGCCTGGCCAGAGAAGAGAGGGGAGATCAGAAGGATGATGGAGGTAGCCGCCGCGGATATCCAGATGCTGGGGGGCTCCGTAGAGCTGGTGGATATCGGAAAGCAGAAGGTACGAGCACACCCACCGAATTCTCCCTGGGTCTGGGAAGAAGCAGCCAGGTCTTGTGTGACCTTTGACTGCAGATGGTCAGCTCTAATTCAAAGTAAGCTTGGAGTGCCTCTTGCGTACATCTCACTGAGGGCAAGGTAATAGTTTTGTGATTATTCAGCATGTTTTATTCCAGGAAGGAGAACTGTGGACCAGTAACTCAAAGGTAGGTGAGAATGACTGTCACTCTTAAGAAGAGCTGAAATTCCTTTCCCAGAAATCAAAGCTTTCACAGTTAGAAGTTACACATTATCCGAGTCACTTAATAAATAACAAAGCTCTCTGTTCCGGGTCCTCTGCATATGTACGGTAGCTTTCAGAGTGTGAACGAGTGAGTCTCCAATTCGTGTGCCTTCTCTTGGGTGCTTTTCTTCATTTGCCTTGCCTTGTCCAACTTTGATGTGATGGGTTTTATTTTATCTTATTATGTTTTATTTTGTCATATTTTGTTGTTTTCTCTTAGAAACCTGTTCTTTTCTAATAAGAAATAGAAAGGGAATGGGTCCAAATGACGGGGAACTGGGAGGAGCAGAGAGGGAGGGAAAACTGTAATCAGGATATATTGTATAAGAAAAAAAATCTAGTTTCAATAAAAGGGAAAATACACTTGAAAGCAAAAACATAAAATAAATAACAAAGTCCCAGCACCCCCACTCCACACCCCAGTACTTCTTACCAGGAACCTGGGAGTGGAGAGGGCACCTTAAGAACAGCTTGTTCTGCTTCGAATTTTGTTACTGGTTTTGGTTTTGGTTTTGGGTTGAGACAGGATCTAACTATATTGCCCTGGCAAGCTAGAACCCACTAAGTTAACCACACTGGCCAGAACTCACAAAGCTCCTGCTGCCTCTGTCCCCCACATGCAGGGATCTAAGGTGTGGGCCACCACATCCAGCTCTTTATCTGACATCATGATACATTTTTCTGCTACTTTAGTTTCAACTTTGTCTGATAAATTAGGTGTGCAGTTGGAATGAGCAGTTCTGGAATTAGCCATTCAATTTACTGTGCATATGTAATCCAGGGGGTGGTGTGGTCATTGGGAGCCAAGTGCCTTCATGGCAAAACCAGAATTCAAACCCAGGCTTTCTGACTCTCGGTCCAAAGCTTCTCGAGATTTTCTTTGAATGACAATTATTGATAGTTAATATACAATAATAGCAGCATCCGAACAAATGCCCCCCACAGGGGAATAAACTAAGTTTCTTCATATTGTTTCCTTTAACTTTTTTGCTTAGTCTTTTTGAATTTGTAATTGTTTATTTATTTCTTAGACAAGGTCTCACCCTGTTCCAGTCTGGCCTCCAGGGCTGCGGTGTAACCACGCACTCACTCTTGTTTCTTTGCCTTGCCTGCCTGCTGCCTCGCCCACTCTTCTCATCGTATTAAACAAAAGACAAAATATGACTAGGTGCGATGAATCACTTTTAAGAGTTCCTTTACAGGGTTTTTGGAAAATAAATAAATCAGCCAGGGGTGGGGGTGGGGTGAGGGGAGCCGTACACCTTTAGGACAGCCAGGACTACACAGAAGAAACCTTGTCTCGAAAAACAAACAGACAAAATTACAATAAATAAATCTATTCTGTTACCACTGATGTGCTTATCTTTAAAGGCCTCCATAAAAGAATACAGTGGCTGTTATACTGTTTCACATTAGGTAACACCCATTTTCATCAAGGCCTCAAGAGAGCTCCGTGATCAGGCCAGCTAAAAGCCAGCTGATGCAAACGGCCATGGACCCTATGTACCCAAAGTTTAAGGCATGGTTCTCTTCCCCTGGTGCCTACAAGCCAACCTCATGAAATCTGATGTGCAGGCCCAGCCCTCATAGCACACGCTTGGGGCTGTCAGGATCAAGAGGTACTTAGGTATTTTATCAGCGAAGTTTACTGAGAAAATAAGCCAGTATTCTTATAAGAGTCCCTATCACCTGCTGGGTGTGGTGGTGCTCGCCTCTAATCCTAGAACTCCTGGCAGGAAGGAGACAGTCAGGCCTAATCAATGAGGTGTGTCTCAAAAATAAGAATTCTAACCACCCGCTGAGTTCTAGAGTTCTAGTGTGCTCACAGGCTCAAATCTGAGGGAGGAGAATTTTCCCAGCCCTCCCCCACACCGTCCTTACCTTGTCAGCTTTAGTGGCTGCGTCTTTTATCTCTTAATCACAAATTGTTAGTCTAGCTTCTTATCAGACAAGATAATCGGTACATCGGGCAGTGGTGCGGGTGATGTGACTTCAGGGCAGTCTGGCTCTGACTGCTATACCAGTTAGTCTGTGCATTATGGTTTTTCAGAGACATTTTCATAATGACTCTCAGGAGTGGTTTCTAGTCCATCAGCACATGTGCGCGATGTTCTTGCTGAAACAGCCCCTTCCTCCTCCCAGCAGACAGATGCACGCGTGTGTGCTCGTGTCCTCCCCTGTCAACTGCTGTGTGCTTTGCTATGCTCACCAGCTTTTCCTGGCCAAATACAGGAGCTAGTTAGTAGAGGAGGCGCATGGGCTGCAGGGCGTGAGGACATTGTGCTCGGGCCACGGAGGCACAAGTGGTCACCACTGACCTGATGTAGAGGTAGGAAAGACGGAAGACTGGTTTGTCTAGAATTCTGCAAGTGGTGTCCTGGATAGCTGGCAAAGCCTTGGGGGAATGTCCAGGGCGAGCAGCAATCACCACCATTTCACTTGGCAAGCGTTATGTAAATTCTCTATTTTGAAGATTTTTTAAGTGTGTATATGGTAGGTGTATGGTGTGTGCTCACAAGTGTCTGTAAGCAACGCGTCTGCTGGTACCCAGAAAGGGTGGAGGAGATCTCCAGATTCCCCTGCTGTTGAATCACAGGTGGTTGTGATTCCCAATGTGGGTGCTGGCACCTGAACTCGGGTTCTCTGGAAGAGCAGAAAACACGCTTACCTGCTGAGCCATCTCCCCAGCCCTGATTTCTCTTAATGCCCTGGTTGATGGTCCATTCTGTTCATCTTAGCTGTCTACATACAGAATTTCAAAAATATAGCCCTCAGTTGCTATTGTAGCTGTTATTTCAGAAATGAGTGCAGTTTATCCCAGACTGTTTCGTTATGTATTCTGACGGGTTTCCTAGCAGCCTTGATCAAACTAGTTGTCGGTGTGGTTCAGTTCATGCTCCCTGTGTTTCGGGAAATCATTGGATTTCAGAAGCATGGAGTCCTTGTTAATTAAGAGCTGTTAAATGATAGGATCTTAAAACTGTGCAGCAGAGGTTGAAGGATGAGAACAGCTAGATTGAATGACAGCTGCCAGACTATTAACCAGACTGTCTCCACTGCTCCTCCCCCTCAGCTTCCGGATGGCTCAGAGATACCCCTTCCTCCCATTCTGTTGGGTAAGCTGGGCAGCGATCCCCAGAAGAAAACGGTGTGCATTTATGGGCACCTGGATGTGCAGCCTGCGGCCCTGGAGGATGGCTGGGACAGTGAGCCCTTCACCTTGGTGGAACGGGAAGGTAAGGGCACCCAGTGCTTGCCACCCAAGTGCTCAGCATTGGAAATAGTTCTGGAGATGCTACATTTGGGAAATCACTAATATTCTCCTGGGGTTTTCTCTTTCTGGTACATTTCTTTAAACAGAATCTAGAGACTGGGTTCTGGAAATTTCTCATTTGTGCCTCGGTTCCTCAAAGTTCAGAAACTTTTCTTTTCTTATGACAAGTCCTTGGTGGGAGCCTGCCAAGCTTCCTTCAATGCTAACATCTTTTCCAGAACATTCTTTGTGATTTGGGGCCACAGAGTCTGCAAAGGCAGCCTCTCCTTCTCACTCCCTGTGATGCCCTCGGCTTGCATTCTGTTGTCACTGCTCTGTCTGGAGAGCCCCCTAGGGCCCAATTCCAGGCCTCCTGAGTGACATGTCCTGACTCCTTGTGGACTGCTCCATGCCTGTGAAATAGGAAAGTTATTTTTATTTAACACATCCGTATGAAACCCATCCGATACTGGGGTCCTCCTCACCACCTAACTGGGACGTACCCATTGCTGTTAGACCTCCACCGGCACTTGGGTTTCTCCTGAGTTTCAGACCCACACGTCTGTGTGGTAGTTCACGGCCACATGACTTCAAGCTGTCTGGACTGGGCATCCCCTTCTTCCTTCCTCGGACCCTCTGTCATATCCTTTGAACAGCACCCTCTTCCACCACCTATACCAGAAACAGGACTGTCCTGTCCCTGCCTTGGGCCATCTCTAGTCCCTTCCCAGCCTCTGTCCTGTCCTTGCTGAGAACACCCCGGTGTGGATCCTGACAACCCAACCACACTTCTTTGAACCTAACACCCTTCAGCAGATTCAGATTAGGGTTCCAAATTGGGACGAGAGGATAGTGTGTACTTAGTGATTTGTGACCATGCCCATGGGCTTCCAGAGCAACCAGGCTCTGCATGGTTGTGTTAGCTGTGTAGGGCACATAGTTTTAAAGGGCTAGCCACCTATAGGGTTTCCTGGAGACGCGTGATGAATCTCTGTGAATCCTGGTCCTAGCCATCGCTGTGAAAAGGGAAAAGTAACACAGACACCAACATGACTGCCTCTTGGATTGCAAGAAATTGTCTCTGAATTTAGCATAGGGTTGGATGGAGATCCAGGCTTTTAAAGTGTAAAAGGCCCTCCCTGCTCAGGACAGCAGTGTGAGTTGGTGTCTCAGCATTACCAGAGGTTCACTTGAGGAAAGGTCTTCAATTTGTTGTCTCTAACTGGATCTGCTGACTGTTGCTCCAGGCAAGCTGTATGGGAGAGGCTCGACGGATGATAAGGGGCCAGTGGCTGGCTGGATGAATGCCCTGGAAGCCTATCAGAAGACTGGCCAGGTACACCCCCACGTCAGATTCTGTCCACTCATCAGGTCGTGTGAGTAGTGGTGTAAAGATCACTCGAGAGGAGAAAGCGAGCCCCACCTTGGTCAGCAAGGGAGACTTAGATAGAAGATTGCAGCTGTTTCTATTCTAGAGATCATTAAACAGTTCATTGTCCTAAGGACGCTCAAAGGTCAGGTTATCACCACGCTGCAGGATTCTTGCCAACCTTAGAACATCTTTGATTCTCTCCTTTCCTTCTGTGCTGGGATCAAACCGATCCTCATGCACACTGGGAAATTCCTGTACCACTGAGCTGGATCTCCATCGCCAGTGGGAACTGAATTTTATTTTATTTTATTGTGACTGTTTTGGGGCTTTTTTGTTGTTTGTTTTGTTTTGTTGATATTTTTGTTATTGTTGTTTTATTCTTATTTTTAGGTTTTTTTGTTTTTTGTTTTTTTAAAGACAGGATTTCTTTGTATAGCCCTGGCTATCCAGGAACTAGCATTATAGACCAGACCAGCTTCTAACTCACAGAGATCAATCTGCTTCTGCTTCCTGAGTCTGGGATTAAAAGTGTGTGCCACCATCGCCCAGTTTGTTGGTATTTATTTTGTTGTTGTTGTTGTTCGTTGATTTTGAGATAGGGTCTCAGTGTAGCCCTGGCTGGCCTGTAACTTACAGAGCCTGTAACTCTGCCTCTCTAGGGCTGAGATTATAGATGTGCACCACCACCCCCGGCTCCCAGATGTGACTTTGGTGGATTTGTTTGTTTGATACAGAGTCACATTATATAGCTCAGGCTGGCTTTGAACTCATGACAATCCTCCTTCCTCAGCCTTCAAGTGCTGGGATTATGGGCGCGTACCACAAACTTGACTAACATGAATTTTCAACCTTTGACCTTACCCATGAGTATGGTCCCTAGCCAGAATGTAACAGACTTTCTGACGTTGCACAAATTCTTTTCTCTATGTGGTTTATATGCTCCTAAAAAATAAATTTTAGATTATTTTGAGTGTTTCTTTTTTTGGGGGGTAGTCTCAAAGTTCAAAATTGATAAAGTATAGAAAATGGGGTGGGGGCAGTTCTAGAAACCTAATTTTCGATAGCTTCTAGTGTTGTTCCCTACTCAGTTTTCTGATTACCTTTAACCTGGCTGTGATCATGCTGTTTGGACAGTCTTTGCGTATGAATTTTATTTCACAAACGTGATAAAATAAGTAGTTTTGTCAAAGTGTGGAATTTCAGATCAGGAAAGAGTCTCCCATGCTCTTTGTCTGGGGAGCATCTGCATGAGAGAAAACACGTTTCCAACACACACGCTTGGCCTGTCCAACAGCCAATCCTAAAAGCTGGGCACAGAAGCCGGGAAGACTCAGCAACTGCAGGGCTCCTCAGGTGTTGGGAGGATCTGGAAGGGAGGATATACAGGACAGAGCACTGAGAACCTTCACTTAGAGCTGTTGAATATATCGAGGTTCCAGGAAAGATTTCACTTGGGACAAAAGATGCAAACAGGTGGGAGATGGGGCTTCCAGGCTTTGGACCCTGCGGTTCTGTCCTGTGTGTGGCCCTAGCCAGCTGCCTGCTCGTGTGCAGCCTCCTTGCTCATCTGTGGATAGGCTGGCTCCCTGCTTCATCCTGTGGAGCCAGAAGAGCTCTTAGAACATGACCCAGATTCCAGCGCTGTGCTGAGATTCCGGTGAAGCACCTCAGGACCTCTTGGCTTCTGTGTTCAAAGTGATGCTGGCAGTGTCGATGACCTTCCCAGTGCAGAAAGGTCTCACTTACACTTAGCCGATTTCTCTCCTGATTCCTCTTAGTGTGTGTGTGTGTGTGTGTGTGTGTGTGTGTGTGTTACTTGTGTGTGGGTGTCTGAGAGAGACACAGAGAGAGCTTGCAAGTGTTACTTGTGTGGGGGTACATTTGCCCAGGGGTATGCGTATGTGTGGAGATCTGAAGCTGAGTTACAGACAGTTGTGAGCAGCCATGTTTGTGCTGGGAATGGAACCCTGGTCCTCTGTAAGAGCAGTCGTTGCTCTTCAGACCAGTATGCATTACCCTTCTCCCTGCCCCATGGCTTCCCACACACATTGGCTCACCCTGTCATGGCATGGATCCCTGGGCAGGGCATACCTAGGCATGGTACAGGGCTTTTCCTTCTGACTATAGACTCCCACAGGCCAGTGAGAGAGATCTCATATCTGAAGCTAAATTTCAGAACAGTCTCTTGTGTGTGGCTTCTGCAAGAAAAGTAAGAAAACCGACTGTCTTGTGATGTCCCTGTCCCAGGAGATTCCTGTCAACCTGCGGTTCTGCCTGGAAGGCATGGAGGAATCTGGCTCTGAAGGCCTGGATGAGTTAATTTTTGCCCAGAAAGATAAGTTCTTCAAAGACGTGGACTACGTCTGCATTTCCGACAACTACTGGCTGGGGAAGAAAAAGCCGTGCATCACCTACGGCCTCAGAGGCATCTGTTACTTCTTCATTGAGGTAAGAGCTGAGTCCCTCTAACCCACAAGCCTCTGTGTTCTCCTGTACCCCGACACAGGCAAATAGCAAGAAGTTAATCACACGGGAAAGAGGAGCTCTGAGCTTCCCAGGGCCCCTATTGGGTTCCATAATCCATCCTAATCCCCCAGGCATGCAGCTCTGAGATCAGAAGTCCAATCTCATGGCAAGTTCAAATTAAGACGGTATTATCTGTGATATCGTATTACAGTGGATGAGATGACAGCAATGCCAGGCCTTCTAAGATGACTTGGACAAATAAGCACTCAAACCCTTCCTTTAAAAGTTAAAACATTCAGCCGGGCAGTGGTGGCGCACACCTTTAATCCCAGCACTTAAGAGGCAGGTGGATCTCTGTGAGTTCGAGGCCAGCCTGGTCTACAGAGTGAGATCCAGGACAGCTAGGGCTGTTACACAGAGAAACCCTGTCTCAAAAAACAAAAACAAACAAACCAAAAAGTTAAAGTGTTCACACTTTAGCAGGTAAATTCTAATTCCACATCTGAGTTTTCTTGAGAGGATGGGGACTCTACCAGATGAGCAGGGAGTGTGGGCAGACTGCCACACAGGTGAAGGTCTTCTCCCACGGGCATGACGATGTGGGTCCTGCTGAAGGTCTTTATCGCCTCATAGGGCAGAATCCATGGCCATAGCTGTACTGAGACTATGTGCATGTCACAATTCTGAACTGTGAGGGAACTTCCCATTCCCTTTAGAGATGGAAGTCTAAGTACCTGGTGGTTACCTGGCTTGCCTGGTTGTAAGACTAATTAGTACTAAAGTGGGTCTGATCCACTTTTTTCATGTTAGTGGGTTCATGCTTCATGCTTGGTGTTGCCCTCTGAGGAAATATGTGCAGGGTCTCTGCAAAAAAACAAGATTCTGTTAAAGGGGTTATCAGTGTTAGAGAGGCTGCTCTGCACCATGATTCTACCTGTGGCCACCATTCCCGGTGCACCTGCAGCCAGCATTCCCTGTGCACCTGCAGCCAGCATTCCCTGTGCACCTGCAGCCAGCATTCCCTGTGCACCTGCAGCCCGCATTCCCTGTGCACCTGCAGCCCGCATTCCCTGTGCACCTGCAGCCAGTATTCCCTGTGCACTTGCAGCCCGCATTCGCTGTGCACCTGTAGCCCGCATTCCCTGTGCACCTGCAGCCCACATTCCCGGTGCACCTGCAGCCAGCATTCCCTGTGCACTTGCAGCCCGCATTCCCTGTGCACCTGCAGCCCGCATTCCCTGTGCACCTGCAGCCCGCATTCCCTGTGCACCTGCAGCCAGCATTCCCTGTGCACCTGCAGCCCGCATTCCCGGTGCACCTGCAGCCCGCATTCCCTGTGCACCTGCAGCCCGCATTCCTGGTGCACCTGCAGCCAGCATTCCCTGTGCACCTGCAGCCCGCATTCCCGGTGCACCTGCAGCCCGCATTCCCTGTGCACCTGCAGCCAGCATTCCCTATGCACCTGCAGCCAGCATTCCCTGTGCACCTGCAGCCCGCATTCCCGGTGCACCTGCAGCCAGCATTCCCTGTGCACTTGCAGCCCGCATTCCCTGTGCACCTGCAGCCCGCATTCCCTGTGCACCTGCAGCCCGCATTCCCAGGAGTCTGCACATCCAGGATTCTGTCTGGTGTCTGGTTTTCTAATTGAAAAATGCCTTGCTTTGCTTCTTAAAAGAGCAGATTTGGACTAGAAAACTGTCAGTCTTACAACTGTTCTTTGTCAATGCAATGTCACCTAATTAAAAGAAGTTCCCACTAAGCCATCAAATAAAGTGACCTTTTGTTTCTGTCCAGGTGGAATGCAGTGACAAAGACCTCCATTCTGGGGTGTATGGTGGCTCAGTGCACGAGGCCATGACGGATCTCATTTCACTGATGGGTGAGCTTAGGGCTGGAGCTCTCTGAGTCAGCACTTGGTCACTTAGGGAAGTGGGCAGGGCACTTTTTCTAAGCTATTTATGCATGTGCCTGGTATGTTTCAGCATCCTTCATGAGCCTACCCAGCCATGTTTCTAATTAAGTTCCTTTCCTCTGGGCGTTGTTTTATTTAAAAGGACCTGTGTTTCATCTCTGCCCCTTCCTGTCCTTCCTGCACCTATCCCATATGTCATCACCAGCTATAGAGCTGTTCTCCATCCAGTGGATTGGCCCTCAATCCTGCTCAGTCTGTCCCTTAGAATTCCTGGATGCTGTCGTTCTTGTGGGCATGGTTTTTACGTCTCTCAGAAGGCATCTGCTTTGATCTGTCCCAGCTGGCCACAATTAGGTTCACCTATTTGGTCAGCTTCTGGAGAACAAGAACCCCAGCTTCCTCCAGCATCCTACTAGCATAAAGCTGAGTGGAGCTATTGCCTCTGTGTGGTTTTGTAACCTCCTTCTCTCATCCTGCATCCCAGAACAAGGGCCCTGCAGGTGAAGTGACATTGCATCTGTAGTTAGAGTCTGCCCTGTTCCACTAGGAGGGTCCCTCGCCAGCTGTAGAGGACCAGAAATGCTGGCTAGTGTGGGTTTTTAGGTTTGTGTCCAGGTGTGCAATGGGGGGCTCATGTACCCTCCACCTGCTCCTCAGTCTCTCTCTCTGGAAAACAGGGGTGAGTAGTGGTCCTGCTCACTTCCGTGGGGCTACCTGACTCACCAGCATGATGCACCCGGTGCTCCTGGCCCCCTGTCGCCACCTGGCCATTTGCTCTGGTGCCTGAGCTTTTGGAATCAGGGCCACCCAGAACACTTGTGCGCTGCCCCGGCTAAGCATCCCACCTTCTGCCACTTCCCCCAGGCTGCTTGGTAGACAAGAAGGGGAAAATCCTCATCCCCGGCATCAACGAAGCCGTGGTTCCTGTGACAGATGAAGAGTGCCAGCTCTATGACCACATTGACTTCGACATGGAAGAGTTTGCCAAGGACGTCGGGGCTGTGACCCTTCTGCACAGCTGCAAGGTACCACTCCCTCATGCCATGCCCAGGACCCATCTTCACAGCTGCAAGGCGCTGCTCCCCCCTCCCCCCACACACACAGGCCACCATGCTGACAGGCTCGTCCACCTCGCCTCAAGGACATCCAGTGTCAGAGGTTCTTCCTCGGAGGGAACACGTCACCAAAAGCAGGGTGTGGTCAAGCTGTTAGGGTTTTCAGATGTCAGGATCAGCCTTTGACCAGGTTAATCTCCAGGTGATCGACCATGACCTATGTCCATGGGGGACATGTGCAGAGCGGGCAGAGCCCTTTCCTGCCACAAATCTGTTTGTTTCCTATGGGTTTGTGGACACCTTGTTCCCACAAGGCCCAGAGATTAAGCCAAGCATGGAGGCAGAAACTGTCTGCCATTACTTCATTGGTAGGAGAAAAATTGTTATCTTAATATAGTTATTGTCTTAGGGGTGTGGATATCAGTTCATCACCTCGGTGTAGCCATGATTAACAGAATCCTGCACCAGCTCCTCTAGGACCCGGGGACGGGGCAGGAGAGGAACAGGCCAGGCTGGCTCCTGAGTTTCATCTTCCTCGGAGTCAAAGGAATGAATAACTATAAATGGCTGTGCCATCCGTCAGGCTGGGCACAAGGCTGGAGAGCATGGCTAAAAAGAGGTGGCAGGCCCGGCTAGAGTCCTAGGGAGTTGCTCCTCAGTTTGACAAGAGCAGAGGGAGGAGCGGAGGAAGGAGCGGAGGGAAGGAGCGGAGGAAGGAGCGGAGGGAGGAGCGGAGACATCTCAGCCTGTTGAGGACTGAGGCACACAGCATGTCATGCCAGCGTCGTTTGCCATCACCTCTTGAGGCCACGACGGCTGCACGGCCCTCCTCCGAAGTCTGAGGTGGTGATTCCAGTACACTGGGTGGACTCTGACCAGCCCTCCAGGGTGGGGGTCCCCGTGTCCTCATCCACACCTCCAGTGTAGACATCCCATCTCCTTGGTGAGCAGCTGTGCTCTCTTGTGCTTCTGCAGAAAGACATCCTGATGCACAGATGGCGGTACCCGTCCCTGTCCCTCCATGGAATCGAAGGGGCCTTCTCTGGTTCAGGGGCCAAGACTGTGATACCCAGAAAGGTGGTCGGCAAGTTCTCCATCAGGCTCGTGCCAGACATGGTGCCTGAGGCCGTCAGCGAGCAGGTACGGGGGATGCAGGACGCCAGTGGGGGAAAAGTTGTGGGGTCCGCATGGCAACCGAGAGCTGCTGGATACTAGAATGGTAAGATCTTCCTCCTGGACCAAAGCCTCCAGCTCGAACTCCTGCCCCTTGACATTGGTTGTAAGAAGCAAGGCCGCGTGAGCGAGCCTTACACACTGCAGACTGCGGAGGCATGTGAAAATATGACCTCTGGCCTCACCCCAAAGCAAAGGTTCATGCGTGGTCACATGTTAGCTGCTTCCCTCAGAGGTGAGGATGGAAGGGTGGATCCGGGCAGCTGCGGGTCAACGAGGCTCGTGGAGGATGTGCCTTGTTGATGAGAGAGACTTGGTAAAGAGATGGAATCAGAGGCTTCTGGGAAGCGGGCACTGGGGCCTCCCTCCAGAGCACAGGCTTTTCTCTTGAGGGAGCAGCTCTAGATGAACCCCAGCCCTGGTTTTATTTGTTTGTTGTGGTCTGACGCTTTGTTTACATTTATTTGTTTTGTTTGAATGCTTTGCACAGATATATGTCTATGTGCCACGTGTGGTCCTGGTGCTCACAAAGGCCAGGAGAGGACACCAGATCCCCTGGACCTCGAATTAGACGTGGTTGTGAGCCATAATGTGGGCCCTAGGAACCGAAGTACTCTTAATGCTATGCCGTCTCTCCAAGCATCCCCCACCTTGGCTTTATGTGTCTCAGACCGGCCCAGAACCTTCCTGGCTGCTGGAATGGCGGGTGTGCACATTGTATAGCATATATTAGTGTTTTTTCTCTCATTACTGTAACAAATATACCTGAAGAATACAAAATATAAATATAAAATATGCCCAAAGAAAGCAACTTAAGGAACAAAAGGGGGCTTATTTGGCTCACAGTTTAGGGGTACAGGCCATCAGGGCCTGCACCTGAGGCGGCTAGTCACATGTCCTTAGTGATGGGGAGAAGAGATAAATCCCATGCTCGCCATGCTCTTCCCCTCTCCCCTTTTATTCAGTCTGAGACCCCGCCTTTACAATGATGCTGCCCACATCCAGGATGGACTTCACCCCTCAGTTAAGCTTGCCTGGAAACACCCAGAAGTGTATTTCCTACGTGATTTTAAATCTAGTCAGCTTGCTGAGAATTGGCCATCCCAAGTGTCAACCCAGGAATTTTAAGACAGAAATACCCTGTCTGTTGAATGAATCAGGTCAGACAGCATGGTCTTTATTCAATTTGTAACTATTGTCATAACTTGGTGTCGAGGGTGAACTGATTAAATTAACCCATTGCCTTTCAGAACGGTTGTGTCGCCTGCTTATGTCCTCTCTCCTGCTGCTGGGATCACGCACGTCAGCACCCAGCAGCAGAAAGTGAAGCTGACACAGATCCTTTCTAGACTCGTAGCTGCTGCATAGACCCATTGTGCCCAGCTCGTTGTCATGACATCGAGACGCTCTGCAGATTCTTCTCTGTGAGTCAAATGCCGATTATAAAATTACCTGTGTCTCCTCTGCTTACGGTTTAGGTTTCAAGTTACTTGTCCAAAAAGTTTGCTGAACTGCAGAGCCCCAACAAGTTCAAGGTGTACATGGGCCATGGTGGGAAGCCCTGGGTATCTGACTTCAACCATCCCCATTACCAGGCTGGGAGAAGAGCCCTGAAAACAGGTCAGTTGCCCTCTACAGGTGGCTGCCAGGGTCCTGAGAGTGTCTGAGGACTCTGGTGTAGCATGTTGTACTCATGACATGTCGGTTGCGTTGTGAGCAACCCTGAAGTGTGGGGTGAGATTGGGGACTGAGTCTCTGAGAATAGATCCTAAATGTTGCCAAGTGACTGCTCTCTGGCATCTAGGGCCCAGAGTTCACCATTTCTCTTTATTTTGCTTTCCCCAGTGTTTGGCGTTGAACCTGACTTGACCAGGGAAGGAGGCAGTATTCCTGTGACCCTGACCTTTCAGGAGGCCACAGGCAAAAATGTCATGCTGTTGCCCGTGGGGTCAGCAGATGATGGGGCCCACTCCCAGAATGAAAAGCTCAACAGGTAAAGCAGGGACCTGAGGCCTGAGGTTGGGTTGCCTCCCCCAGCAGGCAGAGGGTCTGCGGTTGCTGCTTTTGTTCCATGTGGTCTGATAGTAAGACCTGACGAGAGGCAGGCATCAGGCCTTCTTAGCGGCGTTTGCAGACAGGGTGCAGCTAGCATTCTCTGCTCATCCTGCTGTTCTTGTGGCGCCCATAAAATACCACTTCATTCTGAAACATTACACCTGTCTTCACTGACTGCTCACGCCCCTTCGCCTCTGACAGGCAGATATGCTGGGGCTTCCTCCAATCTGCAGCAGGCAGACAGTCTTTGAGCAACAGGGAGGAGGGACCTGGGCAAGCATGCTGCAGGTGGTGTGGGAAAATAGGAAGCAGAGAGCCGGTATGAGTCACAGCACAGAAAACTGCTTCCTGGGCTATGGGTCAAAGAGCTGATCTTCAGAGATAACAGAAACCCTTTCACTCCCAGGTCCTCGGTGAGATAAAGCACGAGACCAGGGCAGGCATGTAGTTAGTGGATTCCCCCTACGTTGGGGGCCCACCATCCAGCTCTCAAATGATACACGGAGACTTAGTCTTACTAATGAATTCCCAGCCTTAACTTGGCTTATTTCTAGCCAGCTTTTCTTAAATTATCCCATCTCCCTTTTGCTCTGGACTTTTACCTTTCTCCATTCTCTCTTCCTTTCTTTCCTGCTTACTCCGCGACTGATTGTGTGGCCCCGGCATCCTCTGTTCCTTCTCTTTTTTACTCCTCCCTCTTCTTTTTCTTATTTATTTTCCCTGCCTGCCAGACCCGCCTTTTTCTCTCTCCTGCCTTGCTGTTGCTCATTCAGCTCTTTATTGGACCAATCGGGTGTTTTAGACAAGCAAAGTAACACAGCTTCAGAGAGTTAAACAAATGTGACGTAAAGGAACACAACACATCTTTGCATCATTAAACAGATATTCCACAACATAAAAGAATGTGACTAGCTACTATTCCACAACAAGGGATTAATAACAAGCTAGTTATCCTAGTGAGGAATGGCCGAAGAGGGTGTCACACTCAACTTGTACTTAGGGACCAACCGCCAGGCTGAATTTTAAGGCCACACCGCGCTTCAAGCTGGAGTAGGGTTGTTCTCTAGAGACCAATCAGTAGGAGTAGTCACCGCCCACCTGGATATGGAACCCTGGGCAGCAGCTGATAACTGGTCGGTGTTTTTCTTTTGTTTTGTTTCCCTATTAGGCACAACTACATAGAAGGGACCAAGATGCTGGCAGCTTACCTGTATGAGGTGTCTCAGCTGAAGAACTGAGAAGTCTCATTTTCTACAGAGTGCTTCCTGCCCGGGAATGATCTGCCCTTTGCCCCCTCTTCCTTCCAGCTTTCTTTGAAAAGCGGAAGTTTCTTTTCTCTGTCTCTCGGGTTACAGGCAAACTTGCAGGAATGAAGACCATGCCTCCAGCTGTCACCAGGGTAGAGTCAACTGTGTCAGACAGTTGAAAAAGTTCAGTCCTAAGGCTTTTTGGAGACAACTGACTGGCCCAAGTTCAGAGGAAGGAGTACTCAGAAGTGGTCAGTGTGACTTCCCCTCCAGAAAGTAGCCAGAATCTAAGAGCCCCAAGTCTGTGAGAGGTACTGCCCGTCATGGACTTGAATGAAGAGGATGGATTGTTCTCTGCTTTCTGCCTTCCGTGAGCCTCACGACATTCAGGAGCTTGTGCTAGGACAGTGCCATGGTGACCCTCACTGTGTTCTGTAGCCCTTCTTAAGACCCTAGCTGAGCTCCGCTGGTGTCCCCTGCTGTTGAAGTCCCTCGGAATCTGTCTAAATGGCCCTAGTGGAAGCATCAGTCCAGAGCCAGCTACCCTGCTAATAAAGGTGACGAGGAGCCCCTGGAGGAATTGCTGTGGTCTCACTTTCCTGGGAAATACGCATGCAGGTATTCACGCTGGTCCTTGATCTGTGGACCGCACTTGCGTGTGTTGTTAGGTAGTGTCTGGGCACTTGTCACCTCATAACATAAGACTTATATCCACCCTTCTGCCTTCACATCAGATTCCTTAAAGTGGCAATTGCCAGGGCTGGGTCAACAAAGTTGCAAGGTGAGTCAGGAACACCTTGTAGTGGAAGATAATGGTAGGGATGCAGAAACCACCCTGAGAGCACACAACTGCCAAGGAGTAGCTAGAGCCAGGATGGTACCTTAGTAGAGGATCAGGAAAATGAGGCAGATGAATTGCCATGAGTTCAACACTAGCCTGGGGTATAGTGTAAAACCCTGTCTCAAAATCGTAAGCTAACAGAAAAATGACTTCAGAGTTATGGCCTACAGAATAAACGACTACCCATCTCTACTAATTCAAGCTAAGTGGTGAACGGGCCAGGATTCTTGCAAAGGAAAGGGGAATCCTGCCGTATCGCCAACAGTGGCTGCAGTGAGCTTACCGCAGGTGTACTAAAAAGCTTCAACCTGGGTGTTTGCATAGTCTGAAAGTATCTCCCTAAGCTCCGTGGTTCCCAGAGAAAACCCAGTGACTACAGTGGAGAAGCCCAGCAGACACCTGGACCAGGTGAGCATTCCTATAGTGATGCTGGTCAGGGACCCAGATCCTTTCTGCCTAAGACCACAGCAGCTCTGGGGACTTCTGACTCGGTGAGGAAATACCAGACACTCTGAAACTACAGAACAATCCGAGAAAATCTGGGGCCTCTCACACCCCCATAGAATAGAATTGAACAGAAATTCTGACATCATCTCTAAGGTCTAGGCCCCTGCATTCCCCCTGCCCTCCCACACTGGAGTCAGAGCCAAGATATCTCCAGGAGCCTGAGAAGCTCCCTGCTTAGCTCCTGAGCCACCCCCATAACTGTCCCCGATATGTGTGCCCCTAAGAAAACAACCTGATATCAATCGTTTTACACCCCTGTGCTTCTCAAACTATTGAACTGTCCTTCAGGGTCTGTGCACTTGAACCCTTGTGTCTAGAGACCAGATAAGAGCTTTATCCAGGGCTGGTGAAATGGTTAGCTCTCAGCAACAGTTTCCTGAGGAAATGGTCCTGTGGGTGGGGACTTGTGAATATTTATAGCTGGTCTCCATTGTCCCCACATAAGGAAGCTGGCCCCTGGGGACTGAACAAGTACCTAGTGTAATTTAGAAAATGAGAGAACTAAGCTTATTCTTGGCCCAGAAACAAGGAGATTGCTCTGAGATTAAGAGTACTGGCTGTTCTTCCAGAGGTCTTAAATTCAATTCCCACCAATCACAACCATCTGTAATGAGATCTGGTGCCCTCTTCTGGCCTGCAGACATACATGCAGACAGAAGATGATGATACAAGATAGATGATAGATAGATAGATAGATAGATAGATAGATAGATAGATAGATAGATTCTTCTGGCCTGCAGACATACATGGAGGCAGAACACCATAAGCATAATAAATAAACAAATAAATAACTAAAATCTTTAACAAGAAATAAAGAAAAGGAGAACTTTTGCCACCACATTGCTAAGAACAAAGAGAAACTTCTGTCCTGAAGGAATAGGAGGTGCTGCACGACCTAGAGAAAGTCAAGCTGTTCCTGTCCTTGTTGCTTTCTGGGTTAGAACCAGTGATGCGATAAATGCTCACAGCTCTGATGGCTGTGCATTGATTAGTGATGATACAGGACAGTCTGCCACAGCCTCATCCGCAGAGGCTTGTAGCCTCTTGTAAAGGTGGTGCACAGGCCTGGCGTGGTGGCTTCTCTGTCCTGTGGGACCAGGATCCTGCTGTGCTTCTCTTCTCTCCCACTGTCTGCTTCACCTCTGCATCACCTCTTCCTGGAACAGCCTGTGGGGAGGGGCTGAGGGGAGGGCAGGTGAAGCTTTCCTCCGGCACCAGCCAGGATTAGTTTGCATTTAGCTCTCCAGAGAGAAGTCGCTAGGCCATCCCTACCTGAATGAGAGGCAGGAAGCAGGTCTGTGTGTATGGGGCAGGAGCAATGGCTCAGCAGTTACAAGTGCTTGCTGCTCATCCAGGGGACCAGAGTTCAGCTCCCAGCAGCCACATCACACAGCTTACAATTGCTTGTAACCCAGTCCCAGGGAATCTGACACCCTTTTCTGGGCTCTGCAGACATCCACCCACAGATGCATGTGTGCACGCGCGCGTGTGCGTACACACACACACACACACACACACACACACACAATAGAGTAGCCAGGAATGATGGCACAACTTTAATTTCATCATTCAGGAGGTAGAGGCAGGTGGATTTGTGGGTTTGAAAGCAAGATTACATAGTGAGAGCCTGTCTAAATAAACAAAGTGTCCTAGACAGTCCTTTTATCAACTTAACACACAGGAAGAAAGAATCTCAACTGAAAAAAAATGCCCCCCTTTATTAGCCTGTGGGGCGTTTTCTTAATGATTGATGTGAGAGAACCCAGCCCATTGTAGGTGGTGTCACCCCTAAGTAGATGGCTGCCTTAGTTAGGATGTCTGTTGTTAGGAAAGGATCCCATGACCTTGGCCATTCTTATAAAGAACAGCATTTAGTTGAGGTGGCTTGCTTACAGTTTCAGAGATTCAGTCCATTATCATCATGATGGGGACATGGCAGTGTGCATGCCACATCCACGACTGTCTCGCCTGTGTGACAAAATGCCTCTCAGGTGGTGGCCGTCTCAAAATGAGGGGCTCATGCTTCCTGGAGCTTGGCCCCTGGCGGCTCCCTGGCAGTCTGCTCTAGTTGAGGTGCCTGATTAGCCTCAACGACTTCGTTCGCTTTGTTCCCGGCGATGGTTTCTTGCATTGACTCTGTATCCTTTCTTATGTTCTATTTTTCTCTTGACAAAAACTAAATCTGTTCAAGGAACCAGAAAACATTTCCAATGGCTCCTTGAATACAAAGGAACTGATGCATCAGTTCCCTCCCTTGATTCAGGCCATTAATGTTATGATTAAGACTCTGGCTCGCTCTCTGGGGGAATTTACAGATACCCTAGAACAGAAAGAGCTCGTGGTAGGAGATTTGGTAGAAGATGGGCAAATTATGAAGGAAAATGTATGGAATGGCATGCGTTACCATTTATGGAGAGGCTAGCCAGAATGAGAAACCCCTGGTACATTTTAGATAGGAAAGAAAGGCAAGATATTCTTGATAAATGAAACCAGCCATTCAATATTGGAACAAACCCTGGGGGTGGAATCCTGAAGAATGGTGTTTGGGTTACCTTGGTTACCTTGAGGGCAGATATGATTTAGGGCCATGAGAAAGCACAGTTAGTTAGTGGTGTGAGACAAATTTCAAAGAAAAGCTCTGCCCACCTGGCCCTGACCACAAGACTTGCTGAGAATAGTCAATTGTCTGTAATCATTTTTCTATGGAAACTTTTATGTCTGCCAACTTCCTTCTGTAATCTCTTAAAAGTGATGCTTGAATTTTAGTAAAGTTGCAGCAGATTCAAATCTCATTAGAGTTGTGTCTGTCTGTCATCCGCCGAATCCTGGGTTCTCCTAAGCCTTCACCCCTGTTCTTCCTCGGTCTTCGATCTCCAAGAGAGTCAGTCCGCGGCATGTGCAGGCAGACATGGTGCTGGCAAAGTTGTGGAGAGTCCTACATCTTGCAGGAAACAGGAAGTCAATTGAGACACTGGGAGTATCCTGAGCATAGGAAACCTCAAAGACCATCCCCACAGTGACACACTTCCTCCAACAAGGTCATACCCACTCCAACAAAGCCACACCTCCTAATAGTGCCACTCTCTATGAGATTAAGGAGGCCAATTACATTCAAACTACCACATCCCATTCCCTGGCCCCCATAACTGTGTAACAATATCATAAGGCAAAATGCATGTAGTCCAACTTCAAAAGTCCTCTTAGTCCAGCACAATCTCAACAATGCTTTAAAGTCCAAAGTTCAAAGTGTCTTCTGAGATTCATGCACTCTCTTAACTGTAATCACGTGTAAAAATGAAAATCAAAAAGCAGATCACACACTTCCAACATATAATGACACAGGATATACATTACCATTCCAAAACTCAGGACGGGAACAAAGTGAGAAAATACTGGACCAAAGCAAGACCAGAAACCAGCCGGGCAAAATCCAAACTCTGCATCTCCATGCCTAGTATCAAAAATGTTCTTCACGTCTCCAACTCTGTTCAGCTCTGTTGACTACAACACTCTTCTTTCTTGTGGGCTGATTGTACTCCCTGTTAGTATCTCTCCTTGGCAGGTATCCCATGACTCTGGCATCTCTAACATCCAGGAGCCTCCAAGGCAATCCAGGCTTCAACTTCACAGCTTCATGCTAAGGTCTCTCAGGCCTCCATTCGGGAGCACCCCTGACACATGCCTGGTCTCAGCAGCTTTCCTTAACCTTGAGGACAAATTCCATGGCCCATTTCTTCTGTCCTTAACCCTAAACCCAGAATCATATGAAGGTGAAGACAGATGCTAGGGCAATGATCTGCAAGCCAAGGAGGAACAAGACATTTGAATGGAAGCCAGGGGGTTGGGCATATGCCTAGAATCCACGACATTATTTTAAGAGATAAAGAAAAGGAAAATGAAAAGAAAAAAGAGGAAGAGAGGAAGGAAGAGGAAAAAGTGACAAAAAAAGGAGAGAAAAAGGAAGAAGAATTAGAGGCAGAAGGTGAGGCAAAGAAGAAGCAGAAACAGAGATATGAATAGGCACAGGAGGAAGCGGGGAAGAAAGGAGAGGAGGTTGATGGGGAACCTCCTTCAGCCAGTAACCTTTGAGGGGCTGGACCAGGTCAGGGCTGGCATGTCCAGACCCCCCCCCCCTCTCTCTCTCTCTCTCTCTCTCCCTCTCTCTCTCTCGTTCCCGCGTTACACACCTGAGGTTGGACTTCTCGTTCCTATTCCATGAGTTTGTCCC